CTCCCTGTCCTTATCTCGACCCATAAACTTTCTGTTATACTTTTTCTCCTCTGTCTAGTGAATGAGGGGAGTGATAGAGTGGCTCTGGTGGGTATCTGGCCCCCAGCCAGGTTCAACCCACTACAGGGAGGCAGTGAAATTAAGTAAGAGGAAAGTGTAATGGAGACCACCTTAACAAGAACAGGAAAGGGAGAAAAAAGATCATCCTCTTCTGCTCCTAAAATCTATTTTTTTCTACAATCATCATAGTCAAAATACAAAACTGTAATAAATTCAAGCAGCAGCCTACACAGAAAACTCACCAAAGCACGTCAAACCCACTGTTGGCTACTATTCGCTCAGGCATAGACAGCGTGTGTAAAGGATCAATGATGCCTAAGGTTGGTTTAATGGCTCTTGAAGCAATACCTGCAATATGTAAGTAAGGAAAATGAGTTAATGGTTATTTGCAACAAAATAGGACAAGACAAGCTTGAGGTTCAAAACATAACAATAATGAGGGGAAATTATTTGAAACTATGAAGATAAAAGCAAAGAGAAAGAAGGGAGAGTAAGAAGTATCTATGAGTCTGTTTTACTGATGATTAAGTTCCTGTAAGAGAGTTCTTATCATTTGAGACTGTTGCCTGAAATGAATTATACGAAACAATGTTCTCTCTCCATTTGTAACCCTCCCCAAGCAGCCTAAACTTTCAAAACGTCTGGCTGAATGGCATCTGCAACATTATTCTTAGATTTGTATCTTCTGTGAACAATCAGAGGGCAAGACTGGTTTGGGTCTACAATCAATTGCTATTGCTAATTGCTGTCTTCAGCATCTGTAATAATCATGCCTTCATATTATGGTTAAGGAGGCACAGATGTAGCTTTGAGAGAGAGACATACAGACAAACAGACTGATTGACTACACATAGACGAGAAAACTCTAAGCTATGGTCAGAGCTCCTTAGCACACCCATTTGGGTCCCAAGTACTGTAGACTGTATAGCGTATAAAATCCACACGTTTAGAACTAAAACCTTGAAACAGCTGTAAAGCTTAAGATGATGTTTTAGCCCTAATCTTTATTTGCCAGGGATGAAAAGGCCAAAGGAAGACAGTGCTCCTCAGTTGCACAGCATCTCAGGCCTGAGGTTTCAAAAGTCAGGAAAAGGAACATTTGGTTGCAATTACACAACAAAGAAACAGAAGTCTTAAAAGCAGAAAGCAAAATACAGAGGAAATAAGGAACAGTTGGGTGACCCTGAATGTAAGTAGAAATTTCCTTTGCAATTAACATTTTCTGCCATTTAAGAACTTGAAAGATTTTAGTTTCCTGTTTTGCCTTCAAACTATAATCCACTGTATTACAAACATATTTCATTATGTTAATATGCTATAAATTTAATTCAAGGAGGAAGCCTTTAAGCTCTTCAAATTTGCCTGCAGCAGTTGAATCAAATAAAATGACACCTGAAATGACATGCAGTATCCCTTTCTTTCAAGGCAAGGAAGTAATGAAGGCATTGGAAAGGCAATTGTCTTGAATAGCAGACACAAAAAAATATCTTACCGGTTTTTACTTTTAGTTCTTTGAAGTCAAAAATGGCAACACCAGTGGTTTCACTTCCAGTTCCAGATGTCGTAGGAACTTAAAAGGAAGAATGGGGATAACAACAAATAATAATACGTTATATTTCAAAATAAATAAAAACACACTAGTAACGCCACCAAAATACAGAATCCAGGAAATCTCAGAGGTATCCCTGATCCGAAGCCAACAAGGCAAAGAGAAACTGCTACTTTGCTCTCTTTTCTCAGTAAAAGGAGTCAAGCTCAGCTAAACAAGACAAACTAATGAAAAAAACTGTGATTTTACTTCCACTGAAGTAAACAGCAAAATTGCTGCTGAATACAACTAGAGAAAAGTAAGACCACAGGAAGGTGTAACAGTTGTGGTAAACTGATTTAAGCAGAAATATCATACAGAGTGTAGAGTGACTCTCCTTCTCCTAGCCCTTGTTCTCCACCGCCCCCTCCCCCGCCCTGCTTTACCTGCGATGAGTGGCTTGAGGGGCACAGTGACAGGCTTCCCTTTCCCAACAGGAGCATTGACATAATCCAAGAAGTCCGATGTAGGGCTGGACACATACAGGTTGGCAGCTTTGCAGGTGTCTATTACAGACCCACCTCCAACAGCAACATAGGCATCGAACTCTCCCTTTTTAGCAAATTTAACGGCATCCAGGAAACTTGGAAAACAAGAAAAACTTTCCAATTAGGAGAAAAATGGCACATAAAGAAATTACCTATTAAGACCAGTGTACAGGTCACAAGGAGGTGTTTAAACAGGTGCAAGGTATGCTGTAAGAGCCTAGGCGCTACTTTGTGAAGCGCACTGTCAGAAGTACCTTTCGTCTGTTGGTTCCACCCGGACATTATCATACATCTCAAAGTTTATACCACATTTTGCCAAGGAATTCAATACTGCATTTACAGGAGGGAGTTGGGAGAGGTTTTTATCTGTCATCAAACAAACTCTTCTAGCACCAAGATTCTGCAGGTCCTACAATTACAATGACATTAAAACACAAACAAGTGGTATAAAATCACACACTGAACTATTTAAATACTAATCCAAATCAACTGAATCATTTAATTATAATAAGAAAACCAACCTAAAAATAGTTGGTTATTGTAAAATTTTTGAAACAGTATCAACTTAGGATGATTAACCACAAACATATAGGATGCAGAAAGCAGCATAAAGCTGCCAAACTTACATAGTTGAAGTCCTATGATAGAAGAAAACTAATGATAAACATGATGAACAAGTGAAAACCACATGGAACCACATAAGACTACAGTAAAATGTAAAATATTTTTTAAAAATATTTTTTTCCTACACAATTCCTGTGACATAGAAAGGCTTTTCCACAGGGTAGGTCTCCCCTAACTGCTTACCAAAGCATGGCATTAAAATCTTGAAAATTTAATATTGAATATTAATTTATTGATGAAAAATCAAAATAAGAGGGCAAAAAAGAAAAATAATACTACATCCTAACCTTTGCTAAATTGTCACAATAGCTATACAATACATGCAATTCTAAATAATCCTAATGTGGTTTAAAGACAGAAGTTTTAACTTCATTTACTATCTGACTACTAGTTTACTTTACAAATGTGCAAATAAAAAAAAGTGAACTGTTAATGCCATAAATGCCAAAAAGAGACGAAAAATGATAAATGAAAAAACCTCAATGATATCGGCAAACTGGAACAATGTACAATATTCAGGTACAAAGTACAATGAACAATATTCAGGAGAATCACCTCACACTGCTGAAACAAAAATCCTACACTTTCACAGTACAAACTCAGAGCTGAATGAATATCCACCTAATTTAATAGAAAGTCTCTGATTCATTTTAATGAGCACTAGAAGAGACAAAAATGATCTTGAGAAAATCCTGATGAGTCACCAGGATTCAAAACTTTTTGAATTAAATTCCCTGTCAGAAAAAAATATTGTTGCATAATCCTAGCAAATCATCGACAATGTAATTATCCACTGATTATTCACGTATACCGCAGGAACACTGATGTAACATGCTTCTGTTCTTTACTCAACAGTATTTTCCGACCTTTTTACACTGGTGTATATGACTACACATACTGCAGAGCAGTGGAGATTCAGACACACCATATATAAGCTTTCCCTTATAAAATGGATTGATAGCACCATCAGCCCTTTAGAAAATAACTCTTCACCAGTGATGGACCTTCACTATGGATACTTACCATGCCAATCTCTTTAGTAACTCCTTCTCCATAGCGGATGTTGGAAATGGCCATCTACAAAAAATAAAACCCCACAACATTTTTTTCTGGAAAAATGGAATCTAGTCCCAAGCAGTCAAAGTGAAATATAAATATTTACTAATGCAAATATCTGTTAAATGCCATATTTGGAAGTATACAAAATACTACTTTTAAATCAAATATATTTTATTATTAAATCTACCTCAAACGCATAGTCTGTATTTCCCAGGGTAGGCCGTTCAGGAACTGGAATCAAAATGAAACAGTAAAATTAGGGAACAAAAAGTGACTTCAATCTGTATCTCAATGCTAGAGTTGACAGATTCCTTTGCTTTTAAAATCACTAATACATTTCTACAGGTCATCTTAGCTTGTCTGGGTAACAGTTACCCATTTCATCCCTTGTTGTTTGTGAGATTAAATGATCCAAGTACTTAATTTGATTCATATAATTCAGCAAAACAAGTATGTTTTCCTTCTTTCAAGAATTAAGTCTTTCTTATAAAAACTGTGTAAGTTAGCAGGAAGTTTGCATGAGAATTTGTGACAGTCTGCAAAAACCAGAACAGCACATAGTAAGTAGAACTGAGTATCTGCAGAGCATACAGGCTGCTACATCCAGGTTGAGAGGTGTTACAAATGCATAGGAGCTACATGACAACCTTCAGAACAGCTTTTAAGACAAATCCATGAGACATCCTCCATATGCACCTGGATAGAGAACATCTTTTGTACGTGTGAGAGTAATACTGACAGGTGTTTACACTTCTTTTTACTTCTGCATAGTCCTGAATTGGCAGGTGAAACTGAATTGCTTGCTTGAAAATTAAGAAACTGCATGCATTGCTAATGATAAACAGAGTTTTAGTAAGAATTGGTGTGTCACCATCAACTTTATTTAGTAGAAGAGAGAAGATACTTATAAGGATAGTATTTCAGGCACAGCCTCCCTCTGTCATGTCATCCTTGCATGAATCTCCACAAAACTCTCCATTTCTTGCATATCCTGATTTTGCCACAAAGTGAAGCAAACTGCACATCAACTGAAACAGCCCATTCTTCTCCAAGAAAAGATCGGATGAGGCATTCAGCTCTTCCTGCTGAAGTCATGCCTTCTGTCTGCTATATTGATTGAAAATATGCTATGTGGATTCAGATCCAATGACTGAAGCCATGATAATGAGTCTTACAGACACTCTGGGGTGCACTGAAGCACTGACCCACAACAGTAACAGATAGATTAAACTCCTTTATGCACTTTCTATTCAAGCCCAGGCCAGCTGCTATCAGCTCTTTCATTGCCATCTCTTGCCAGGCTGTACATGTTTGACCTCTCCTGGAGTTTGAGTCTGCTGTACTCTTAGTCATTAATTTGACAGGCTAAGAACATGTCCAAGCCATTTACTCTGTTGCCTTCTGATGGTATAATAGGTGCCCTGCTGTTAAATTCTTGAACTAAACTTAACTTTCCGAGGAATTTTATTGAGTTCAAAAATTGCATTATTTACTAGAACACTGTCAAGAAACACAATGCACATTTTTCTTCTGCTACTTTTAAATCAATTACCACTATTTAGAGACTTACTGAACTGATACAATCTTGCTACATTATAGACTCAATCGCTGCTTAAAACTTAGAGAGGGTTCTTAGCTAAGACTTCTATTTAACAAGGGTGTAGTTTGAATTGACCAAGTAGGTCATCAAGCAGACAAGCAGAAGAATGAGATTCTATTTCTTAGCTGTGCTACTGTCTTGCTGTATAATAATGGTCTCAGGCAAAATAAATATCTGAACATATATATATAGCTTTTCCATATGTAAAAGGGTAATTCTTTAAAAAGTGTCTTAAGTAAAGCACATGAAACCAAGCCACTCAGAATTACACATTGTTGAAATTATGGCCAAAATTACTCATTTTTATAGAAAATATATCTATTGTATCTTCTAGGTACCTTCAAAGTACTAAACATGGAACACGTGAGATGTATTAAAAGATAAGAACATCTGACCAGCACCCAGATAGCTATTCCCATAGACTCCCTACAATCAATGCAAGCAGAAATTCATTCCTTCCAGAGCGACTCAGTGCAGCTCTCCTGCGCTTACTCGACAGTCCTGGCATAAGTGAGCTGCATGCTCAGGACTGACTGTATAAAAAGCCTATGGAGATTACATTCCCTAAGCCAAAGCAGACCTTTGTGAATGGCTCCTTTTTGTTCGTATCGTGTTCTGTTTCATTTCTAATGTAACAGACACATACTTTTCCCCTTGAAAGCAGACCTAAAGTTGAGATGGCTCAGGTGATGACAGCAGTAGTAGCAGCCATAGCAAATTTCTGATCAACTTGCCTCACAGCAAGAAGGACAGACAGTATGCATTAGTTGTGGCTTACATGGAAACAGTGAATCTCCCTAACAACAACCACTATCACTGTACAGTTGCAAAATAACAGACTGCTTACCTTATCCTTTAAAATGTTCTCTTTCCTAACTCTTACCTGCATCCTCTGCCCAAGTTACACCAATATGTATGGCTCTACAGGGCCACGGTCTCCTACAGAATTATTTTGGAGACACAAATGAAGTCTTACCTTGGGAATAAGTGTGGCAATGGCTCGGGCACCGACATCTAGTTAAAAGCGTAAAAAAAAAAAAGAAAAAAAGAAAAAAAAAGGCATAGTTAAAATGAAAAACTAAAGCAGAAAAACGTATCTGTCCTGACCTAAAAGTCTCCTGTATGCATCCGTTCATCCTACCCCTACGCGGCCTGGCAGCAGGGCCAGGGGGTGTGAGGAGGCCTGGCCCAGCCCCGGGGCCCAGGGGAGGGGCAGCTGGGGTCCCACCGACGGAAGAACACGGGCGGGTCGCGGTAGGCGGCCCGTGGGGTGCCCGTGTGAGGCGGGAGGTCAGCGCTAGGGAGACTCCGTGGGAGACTCCCACGGCCCCC